ACCCACCAGCCACAGCCCAGCCCGAGGGCTTCATTTGTAGGAGTGTAATCTCCTATGCAATCCATCTCCAACGAGATGGAGGTATCACTATATCTCTTTAATGGACTTTGCTACCGAGAAATGTTATGATTCTGTTGAAATGTAATTTTCATGGAGTTTCTCCTTTTTCCCTGATACTCACCACTGAACCCTTTTTACTGCAAAGGATGCAGTAGATAGTTGGAATACTGAGTCTTTGTGGGCAATCTAGTAAAATATAATTATACTGTTTATCGTTCAGTAAAAGCCTGTCTCCAAGAGGAGAGGAAAGGAAAGGATTTTTTTCTTCCCTTTGTTAGGGACCAAAATTGAAATGAAACACTTGATATCTTAACCAGCTCTCTATTCACCCGTCTTCTGCCGTGATAACAACAAAAAAAAAAAAGAATAGAAAAGGGGAAAATTTGATGTTTCCTCTAATGCCAAGAACTACAAAGAAGGTCATTTTGAGTTTTACTAGCTTGTTAACTTCAAGTTGTTAATTCGAAGTGCAGCTTTCCCATGTGATGGCACAGCCTAGAAATGCTCTTTATTTGCTTTTTGAGAGAAATAGCTAATACAAGCAGATTGCAATCTTTGGAGAAGATACGGGGTCGGAAGAGCGAGGAGGGAGACGCAATAAAACCTGTAACGTGGCCATAAAACTGATGGAAAAACAAAACARGGTCTGGTGCGAGGGCTCCGTCACTGCCCGGGAGCCCTGGGGCTGGTGGACGTCACCCCAGCAGCAACATCTGCCCCTTGGTAGCAGGTGAGAGGGGCAGATGTGGCTCCCAGGTGGGACAAGGAGCTTTGCAGTTTGTGCCATGAGAATAAAATGGAGCAGGGAGGGAGTTGGCAGGGAATTGGATAAGTGGGATCTGCCGGCTCCCGGCATCTGCTTGCTTGAAGCAGCRGAGGTGGAAGCGGGGAGTCGGTGCTGGGGGAGCATCTGGGACAGTTTAAGGATGTAAATGAGGTGAGACCTTTGTGGGGAGGGTGTCTTCTGCTCCGAGAGGCAGATGTGGATGAGCCGGGGGTGCGCGGGCCCGCGGAGAGGTGCACATGGCAGCATCCTGCTTCACTTGAGCTCTATTGGCCCTATGGGGCAGAGTGCAACGGTAACATAGAATATGTGTGTGTATTTGTATTTAAGAGAACAAAGTCATGTATATTTTTATGTGGAGGCTGTCCAGCTGGCACGTGGCAGAGGCCTCATCCAGACCCAGGGCGCTGGACTTGGCGCCCGGACCTGGGCTTTCCGATGCTGCAGAGTTGCTGGAATACAACATTATTGTTGCATTTCAGCAGTGCTCTCTCCTTCTCTCCCTTTTCCCCCGCCCTTGGTTGTCCCTGTGCAAGGCAGACTTGCGGCTCCTGKGCTACGGTGTGGGCAGGAGCCCAGTTGGGGCCAAATCCTGCAGCTCCCGGGCGCTGGACACGGCCAGGGAAGAGAATGGGAAGCTGAGGCRCCATCCTGCTGCTCTGCTTGCGGGCACAGGGAAAGGAGCTGCCCCCTTTTTACCTTTAGAAGGAGAAAAATGGGTACGGAGCCTGCTCCTCATGGAGCTTTTGGTGTCTTCTGGCCATGAGCTGCCTTGTCTCCTGGCTGGAGCCTTCCAGGGCGGGATGTGTGGGACGCCCCGGCCTCGCCTGTGCTCCCCGAGTGGGAGCTGTTGGCAGGGCCCAACCTGGAATGGCCTGGAAAGCCCAATTCTGGTCTGTGCAAATGTAGAAGCTCAAMATTTCATGTAATTCCACAAAGAAATGAAAATAAGACCTTTCGGAATGAGTGTTCCCTGCCTCCTCCTTTTGAAGGGAGCTGAGACAGAATGTTCCTTTTTTGGATCAAAAGGCCTCCTTTCGCCCCGTTTTGCCTCCCAGCCTCCCCGGAGGCAGCACGTGGCTCGGGCTGCACCTCGGATTCTTTTCCACCCAACTTTATCAGAAGTAACGCGCATCTTCGCGGACCGTTTGGGCAGAAACACTCGAGTTCCTTCGTTGCAGCCAAGAGGAACCATGTTCTGAATCCCAGCTCCAAAGAACTGGGAAGAAAAGCTCACTTCCCAGCCAGCAAAGATGGTCCCRGTTAAATCCCATGCCACAGAAAACTTCCCGAATCCCGCGCTGAGCGCGACCRCCAAAGGGGACGTGACTCCGGATGCACCTCGAGGCTGTGGCTGCCTCTACCAAAGCCTATGCCATTTTTTCCTCCCTCCTTCTCTCCCTTTCTCCCTCTCCTTTTCTTTTTTTCCAGCTTAAAGGTCTTTTTTTAGTGTAATTTTTGACTCCTGCAGAAAGAGGATCGAGTTGCAGAAGGTGGTGGCTGCCAGCTCCTACATAAAGCGCTGCATTTGTCACCCCTGCAGGCACTTCCACTGGTTAACAGCTCATCCCACCRAGGATGCTGCTGCCCTAGGCTCTGCTTTAGACATTCAGGTGCAGGCTTGACTGCAGTTTGGCTTTTGTCTGTCCACAAAGGAGATTTAGAGGATGTGSAGCCTATAGAGAGCTCTTATGTCCCTTTAAGCTATGTGTTCCAATTTGCTGCCATATATATATATATAAGCATGTGTATATATGTTTAAATCTCCAGTTTCAAAGGTTCAGGAGGTCASAGCTTAAGAAGCTGATTATCTATCTAAGAATAGTTGGGCAATCTGTTAATTTGGACATATCTCTTTTGATTATTATTCACCTGAAAGCAGCTGCAGGTGGGGATGACTGTAAATGCTTTGCTGGGATAAACATTTTTTTCCTATTTGGTCTCTTTGAAGTTCAGATGTGTTAAAAATGTGGTCATCACACCTAGGCAGCCYGCCCTTATCTGGCTTGGTTTTGCCAGGGAAACCTAATGCAAGGCGAAAGGTGTTTATATGGAAATCCTGGAATAGTGTTTTACAGAGTGGGAAATGCAGGGTGCCTGGGGCAGAGTCCAGCCTTGGAGTCTGCAGTAAAGGTTCAGCCAGAAAGGAGCTGGGACTTGCCTTGCTGCTGCTCTGCATCYGTACCTGAGGAACTGGGAATACAATTCCTCGTACATTGAGGAATCTCCAASTGTTTTTGGAGCATTAATGAGCAGAGCTTCCTCCTGGGGCTGAGTTGAATCCAGGCATCGCTCTCCTGGCAACACTCCRGATTTGAACTCATGCGGAGTCAGGAGAGATTTTCCTGGTGCTGCAGGAGAACTTCCTCGGGACAGGTCCCCATCATCCAGGATGACAGGCGCTCGGATGACAAGGAGCTCAGCTCCTTGGCCGGCCTCTGCTCCATGCTTGGGCTTCAGTTGGCATCCAAAGGATGGGGGAGCTGAAATGAAGCCCCTGTTGGGTGGAATTAGCCAAGCCCAAGGGCTTGTGCATCCCTGCTGCCCCAGTGGAAAGGGAAAAGCAAAGGGACCGCGGTTGCTCCCATTGCAGCTCGGCAGGATCCGCTCTCACCTTTGGTTTGCCACACAATCCTTKCCATTGAAAGAGGACGTAACGCTGTTCTTTGAACAGCAACATTTACAATGAAGTCTTGCTCCTTTTTTGAGGAAAGGACAGTCCAAACCCGTTTCTCAAGTCTTGATTTCATTAGCASAGCGCTGCAGTTCATCAAACCCCGTAAATATTTATCTTTCCATCATGCTTTGTATGATTTCAAAACATTGGCCGCGCCGGAGCRGGCCCCTTGGTGCTGTTCATTGTGCAATCGCTTTCTCTGTGCCATAGAGACGCTGACAAAGAGGTCTCCGATGGCCGTAATGAGCGAGGAGGCGCGTTTGCCTCCGGCCGTGTTTATGGACCTGGTAAAAGCCTCGCGGCATCCGCGGGGATCCCCCGTGCGCGTCACGGCTCCAAAGGATTTGCTGCTCTGCCAGCCCCGCACGCTGAGAAATCGTGAGTCAGTGGCTAAAAATCCGGAGTTTGGTTTCTGGTTCCCGCCAGATAACCCGGGGGCTCTTTCAGCTTGGCCCTGGCGCCCGAGGTGGAATCCATACCTCCGTCCTGGGCTGCATCCCCAGCGCCCTGGGATCCCGCCTTTGGTTTTGRTGAAGTAGCTGAGGTTTCCACTGCCTCCCGTGAGGGTGTCGAGACTGAGAAATGCATTGGGGGTCTGGGAACCTGTGGATGAAGCAGCTGGGGCTGAGCAATGATGGGGAAGGTGCTCCTGGCAATGGGGCCACCAGCTCTTGCCTAGGGTCACAGGCCACCCAGGGAAAGCTCTTGGCTTGCATCATCTCCCTTCAAGCTGGAAGGAACCATCTCACCTAGGATAAATAAGAACTTGACTTGGCTTTTAATGGTGTTTGGATTTTTAACTCCGTTTTTGCCTCTGCAAATCCATGTTGCCGCGGGAGGCAGCTGCAAATCCATGTACGCTCAGGGAGGCCGCCGTTACGGAAATGACAACCCTGTCCCTGCTGGTCTGGGTGTTTRTTTAAATTTTTATTAATATTTCTGCTGGTTTTTCTAGTGCTGGAGTGATTTTAGAATAAATAAAWGGATAAAATGGAAGCTACCCATGGGGGCTTTCACAAGTTTCTGTGAAGGGAATGGCCTGCATGGACTTTCTTGGTGTTTGCGCTATTAAGAAACTGCCTGATAGACTTTAAGCAGAAAAGAAATCTGCTTCAGAAGTCTACCTGTGAAGTGTGTTTAAGATTTTTTCAAGAATTATTCAGATTTTTCTTCAAAGTACCTTATTTGTGGAATGGAGAAAAAAGAGTTATCGAGCATAGAAGAGGGAAGAATAATTAATATTTCTACAAATCCAAATGTCTCTTATTTTATTGGATGGTGCAGTGTAGAATCCATGGTGTAGAAAATATCACCTTCCACTGTCCACCCACAAGACTCTTCTTAATGAATAACTAGGCTGGAAAACAATTCTGCTGAATGTTTTAGTGGTTTGGATGATATTAATTATATTATATTCTGAAGAAGATCTTTATATTAATTCTRAAAAAGCATTTTTTTCCTTTCTCTCTCTTTTTCTAGGCAGGACTGTTGATTCAAAGCATGGACTTCACCCCTTATGAATTTGTCTCCTGAACACCTGTGCCAGGTATTATTTTATTTTACTCTTATAATATTTACATTAGCTTTCAATGTTTGTCTGTGCTTTCTTTTTGTATAATTCCACTTCAGAAAAGTGCATATATTTTACTAGATGCTGTGGTTGGCTTTGGTCTTGTTTTCGTAAGTGGTAGGTTGGGCATAGGAAAACTGCTTTGTTGTTGACCACTCACATCTTATACAGCAGAGTTACCTAGAAGTCTTTAGATGAGTAGCTCAGTATGGCTGGTCCACTCTAGGAGATGGAGTCTGAGGCACTAGAAGTAAAATGAGTTATTCATGCAGAAATGTCTTGGGAATGAGGAGTTATTTGGGAGCAGGYGAGCCTGCCAGTGATTAGCTGGTCCTTACTGGTCCCCAAGTGAGAGCTCACCAGTTTGTGCAACAATCTGAGCTTTAGTGTTGGTTCCACTCATGGAAATCAGAGTGAGATGGCGCTCCTGGAAATAGGGATGATGCGAGAGGGCCTTGCAATTTCCCGTCTGGATTCCTCATTTCCTTACTAGCAGTTGCCTATGGAGCAACTGGTCCTTCATCCAGCCCCTGGGTCTTGCTGCTGATTCTGGTTGCATTCCCGCAACCTGGAGCACGGGGCCTGGRAGGAACCATGGACTTCCCAGCTGTTTCTTATCACAGATGTAGTATGTTGTAGAGAAAGAGCCCCGTGCGTGACCTGAGACATCCCACATTTCTGAAGTATCTGAAATACTTTAATACTCTTGTCAAACCAGTCCTCCATCTCCTTTCATCACACTGAAGTTACGATATTCTCTGATGGCCACAGAATCCAAGGCGATGCGGAGCTCTGGCTATACATTTAAACTGYGCTGAAGCACTTCACCCATGTATGTGATAGTTTTCATATGTTTTCTTCTTGGTATTTACCACTATACATTACATATAACTATTTCTGCTTGGAACCGTGTGTGGCTATAAAAGTAGAGATGGGGGAAAAAAAGCATTAGGTCAAGTTTGCCCTCTTCCCTGCAGAAGGAAGGAGCTGGACGAATTATGTAGCGCCCAGGCACGGAGCCATTTCTCCTCATAGGGTCAAGATGCTCCTCCGTGAATATTTTTTCCATCTAGAATTCGCTAATCTGCTTTGCTGGTATTTTTGACCACACTTCTTTGTTTATTCCCCAACCACTTCAGATGAGCAAAATTGCATTGGCAAGAACATTTGTGGGAAAGCAACATCACGTTGCATACTTGTGCGAATGAATATTCACCAGAGGCTCCGCGTTGAAAGCGCTCGCACGGCCGTTTGCGAATTCCCTTTCAATTACTCACTACAGAGACTCAAATGTTTACAACTGTTTGGTGGGCAACTGGCGAATGAGTTGGGAAGACTTGTAGTTTATCTAAGCCTTTAATTGGCAAGGCTGGGACAGGAATAAAAGCAGCTTGGCCTGCGGGCCTAATTGAGTGGCACTGATGGGCCAGGCTCGCAGCGACTCATTGCTGTCCATAAAAGCTTTGGTTTGACTCTCCATCAGCGTGAGGYGATGAAGAAATTTGGGGAAGAATCACCATGTGTTTATAGATTGTTATGACTTGAACTAAGAGCTGGATTTGTTGGATGGATGAGCGGAGCATTGTTTGATGAGCAGCAGTAGGGAAAGCTGAAGACTTTATTTACCTTTCAGTTGTGAGTGTTCTCGATTACCAGCAATTAGCAGCTAATGACCAAGCTTCTGGAGAGCTGCTGTTGAGTGATGATTATCTCCTGGGATTTYCAGATTCTTTGCTTTGAGTGGCCTGCGCTCAGGACTACTTCAGTCTCTCTGTTTCCCAGCACTTTGCACAAAAAAATATTTAGTAAACTGTTGCTGCTTGATCGATCACTCTTTTTTTCCTAAAAGGGTTTTCCCATAGCGGTGAAGTAGTAATAAACTGTGCCAGTGGTGATTCTGTGGACAACTATGGGTGTTTTTGGTRGGTACTCTAACTGGAGAACCACTGTTGTCAAGTAAAACTTGTCTCATTCTTTAAGGATCTGGTTGAGCAAGGTAGGTGAAGTATAGTTAGATATGTTTTGAAATGCTGGACTGAATGTGAAGAAAGCAATTAGCATTTTACAACATCAAGAGCACACACCAAGTGGATTAAGAGTTGGCCAATGCATCTGAAGAAAGAATCATCATCGGGGAAGCCTCAAGGAGAGGTTGCGAGCGGGGCTGGCTGGAGTTTGGCTCTCTGTTATTCCATCGTCTCATCAGCGACCTAGAAGTCATGATAAAATTACTGCTGATAAAGCTTTTGCATGGCCGAGATTTGGCTGGGAACTACATAGTGGTGAGGGTAAAGAAATTATGCAATGTGGTCTGGCCGACTTGRTAAGCTCAGCCCACTGAAATAAAAGCATTTTAAGGCACGTGTCTTAAAAAGCATTTAAGACGGAGGCAGACCAGCCATACCTATGGCATTGCCAACCTTGCCCTGGGCAGAAATGSCTTGCAAAGGCTGTAGGACAAGTGACAGGAATGAACTTGCAGAGTGGCCACCTTCAGAGAAGGCCGCTGTGGTGCTGGGATGCTCCTGCAGGCCTGAGCCTGGCACTGGTTTTGGAAAGAATGTCARCAAATGGGAGTCAATATGCAAAGGGACTAGAAAATGATTTGAGAGGTGGAGAAAGGAAGACGCTTAGGAGCTCTGCAGCTCATGAAGTTATTGAAAAAGATGGAGAAGGGGCTTGGTATTCATGTGTAGGAATCTTTCTGGGGAAAAAACTTGGGAAATGAAGGGAAAGGAGCTAATGAGAAACTTAGCTGGAAGCTAAAAGCAGGAACTTGGAAACAAGGCACATGTGTCTGTGTATGAAGGCCACAGAGGATTTACCATCTCTTGATATTTGTCGAATTAGGCCAGTATGCTCTGAGAAAAGTGCTTGACCCAAATAAAGCTTTAATTATGAGACTTTATTTATTTATGGGGCCTAAKAGAACCAGGTGAGTGGGGCTAATGTTCATGACCAGCCATATGACTTTGGTATTTGCTTTCACAGGTCACTGTAAATAATTTTTAGATCAAAATTTGGCTGAAAATCTACCGCAGTTGGTCATTACTTTTCTTTGGGTGCCATTATCATCTGAACTCGTGAAATCTAGGGCAGTTTCAAGCCTTCCTCCAGSAGCTCCGGAGCCTGGGCAAAGGCCTTTAGCCAAGGCAAGAGTAGCTCTGGGGTATATATATTTTTCCTTCACATCAATCGGAGTGTTCAGGCACCTCCTCTATAGATACCATCCTGTTTGTCTCATTCTACATTGTTTTTATCAGAAGAGAGGCTTTCAATGCTTCTATTTTTATTGGTTTGTGTTTCTCTTTTTCCTTCAAGCTCCAGGGTGTCCATCTTGCCTCCCAATCAAATTCCATTTTCCTCTATTATTGTAGCTTCGAGTAAGCAGAAAACTCTTCACTTTCCATTTTAATTATCTCTGTCCTGCTAAATAGTTTCCAGATCGGCGGTAAATGCCTCTAAGCAATAGATAAAACAACATTATCCTCCTGCATCATCCTTGACCGAAGGGTGCTCTCAATTTGTTGCTGTGATGTTAGGGCTCACGTGGCCTGGAGACAACGGCCTCCAACTCCATCGTGGGGGATGAAGGGTTTTGATGCTCCCCTCTTCTCTTTGCTGTTACGTGGCTGCAATGAGAGAGGAAATAGTGTGGTGGTGTTGGCGGAGATGTAAACAGAGCGTCCATCATCGATGAGGAGCCGTGGAGGTTCATCTGGGCCCGCGTTTTCCCCTAACCGCGGGAGAGGAGCGGATTATCGGGGAATACGCTGGTGCGTGCATGTGGTTTCTTACATTTAAAGCTAACCAGATGTTGGAACCATCTCCCTGCAACATCTCCCTGCAACGCAAATGATGATATAATGACTCCGGAGCAGCGCGGAGCATTGGCAAGGGACGCATGAATATCCCTCTGAGTGGCATGCAGAGATGAACTCCTGATCCGTAGCCTTGGAAGGGTTGGGAAGTTCATAGGCTGCTTAAGGACAGAGGGTTGCCGTGCAGGCCCATGCTCTGCCCTCGGTGACGTGCAAAGCCTCTTGGAGCACGGATGTTTTCAGGTTATTTGGGAAGAGCCTCCAGTGGCTCCAGCTGTGCCCTGCTGTTGAYGGGGAGTTCCTCTTTTCCTAGCATAGAAAGATTAAAAGTGCATGGAAAACATGCATGATTTCAAAACAGATACCAGTTCTGGCCTTTTCCCTGTAAGATTTAGAAAGCTAAAATGTGCAAGGCAGAGCACGGTGCGGTGCAGGTGATCGGATACGGAGGTTTTGGTGCCAGGGTCTCACCAAACGCATGTTGTTTGCGGAAAAATAATGTGCCCGTGTTTCTTTTCACTGCAAAAGCACAAGTCCTGATTATCTGCTCACTAAAGCAAGTCTTTTCCTTGCTTATGTCTCAAAGCCACAGTCCGTTTGTGCTCTGTTGATTTTATTTATTTTATTTTTTTTTCCTAAGATGAATAACGTTGGTCAAAGGATCGTGAAGCAAAGGACCAGCTCAGGTGTCTGGCGAATTAATCAGCAGGTTTGCTTCTAGCTACACAGTTAATTCTCTGGAGAGGGTCTAACTGCTTGGCGCTAGCACCAAAAATTTCATTTTGAGCACATGATTAATCCGTGCTTCCTTATGCCCTGAGCCTACAGAACAGTGCCCTCTCGTGTGCAGTGCCGAGAGGAGCATGAAAACCCTCCCAACTGGAAACCTGCAAGAAAACGTCAGTGAGAAAATCAACTTATCTGGCTCTAAGCACGTCTTTTCTTCCTATTTTTGTAGTTTAATGGATATAGCTTTATGTTCTATAAACTATATTTGCTGTAACACGGCAAATATTCTGCCTGCTTTTGGCTAGATTCCTGATACGGGAGGATCAAGAAGATGCTTCTAAGGGGAAATATGTGGAGTTTGAAATTGGGGTCACTGAGCAAGAGCTAGCCTGATAAAGATGGCCACTCTATTTTCCCTCAGTTTAT